AGCAATTCTAATGCATTCAAAGATAGGTTTCTTTAGAAAATTACAGCACAAATAAAAGGGGCTTTTTCCATATTAAGCTAATTTATCATATTAATTCCCAAATTAGGCCTAGTTTGGACGAAATTCCCAAACTAGACTAAAGCGCTATTACAAATCACGTTTTCATTGTTTGGGGCTGAAAATTTGATGAACATTGAAAGCGCCATTAGAAACCACGCTTTTAACATAAATTTTTTCTGAAGAAAACGTGGTTCCAAACCACGCTTTCACTGTGCATGTCGTTTAATTTGTTTTCTGAAGAAAACGTGGTTCTAAACCACGCTTTCACTGTGCATATTGTTTAAGTTTGTTTTCTGAAGAAAACGTGATTGTGAATCACGCTTTCAATGTTCACTAAAAGAAGCATGGATTGAAACCACGCTTTCACTGTTCACTACAACAAGCGTGGATTGAAACCACGCTTTCACTGTTCATTTAAATTATTTTTATTTTTTAATTTTTTTTAATTTTTTTTTCTGTTGTCATTGTTTTGGTGATAATGTAATTCATTAATTTTTTTTTCTTTTGTCTTTGTTTTGGGTTAGAAGGTGTAATTCAGAATTTTTTTTTGTCTTTACTAAAGCCGTTGGAGTTGATGTTATTGTGATTCAATTGGTTTCGCTTATTTCATAAGACTGATGTTGTGCAATGAATGAATGAATGTAAAGGTTATTTGTTTTATTCAATTGGTAGTGTAGTTTTTTGTAAGAATGAGAACGTTATTTGTTATATTCAATGAATAATGGTTACATTATTGGGTTCTCACGATTGAGAAGATGAACAAGTTAAGAGAATGTGTATTTCTCCTAAAATAAATTTTGTCAATATTTTTGTAATAAAACTTAATACATAATATACGAAGTCACTAATTTACTAAATACTCATATAGGCATGAAAACAACATAACTGAAGTTGCAAATGTAACAGTTTTCAGTTACATAGGTAGTACAGACATAAGTCTCCCACAAAAATACATTCTGGACACCATGAACTGAACACACAATATATACATCCTAGACACCCTGAATTGAACACACAATACATAAACATAACAGTTAGACAGACAAATATTAGGCAGACAATCTGACAAACTCATTACGGAAACACTTAGTCTAACACAGACATTACATATTAATGCATGACCTAATATTTCCAAAGTGTAGACATTAACACCTAATTCGCGCTTAAATCGACAGGTGGCTTAGAGTCTGAATAATCCGAAAGCTCAGCGTCAGAGACAATTTCAGGATCCTCCATGATACCCTTGATAGCCGCAATATTTGGTTCTGTTCTGTTCTTTTGGGCCTCCTTCTTAACTATGTATAGCTGCATATCGCAGGCTAACCTACGGGGCATTTGAGAAATCTCACGTTGTAGTCTTTCACATAGTCGATCAACATTATCAGGATCTTCCTTTTGGATCTCAACAGAACGTGCTTTTGGCACCTTCAGTCGATTTTCCCGACATAATCTTTCCATTTGCACTCGCTCAATAAATAGTGCGGGCCACTTCAGAAGTCTAGCGTCTGCTAAACCATATCCTGTTTGATTATCTGATGGATCTATACATGAACCTCCTTGAACTGGATAATACTCGGGCATCAAAAAATGTTGCTTCCCAAACCTATCACGATAATCACAAGCATAATCTAAAATAGGTATTCCCACTTCCTCCCATGAATCGTCTTCAGCATCGCCACGTCCCCTTCTCCCTCCTCGTCATGAACTGTCACCCCTTTGCAAGTTCCTACTACCTCTGCGATTCCCACTCCCTCCCATGAATCGTGTAGCTATGCTAATTTTTTAAAACAAATGAATGATAATTTCGTAGGGCAAAATGAGTTGTAAGGTTGTGTCTTCACCTTTAGTCGTTTATATAGTTGGTTATGAATGACTTTAGAAAGATCCCTCTGCATGACAATCCCACATATACGAACAAGGTATGAGTTGTCACTAGAATAAAAAAACAGAGAAAAGCAAATACTGTGTACCAAGTCACGTGACATGACAATCCATCTGCATATACTGACAAAATAAGGGCATGCTCACTGTAAGGTAAATCAGTGAATTCACTGTTGCCATGTAACTTTCTGAATTGAGAATCCCACATATATCAATAAGTGATGAGTTGTCACTGCAATAAAAAAATCGAGCAAAAAATTGAGAAAACCAAAGCCTGTGCACCAAGTCACATGACTTGACAATCCATCTGCATATACGAACAAAATAAGGGCATTCTCACTGTAAGGTAAATCAGTGAATTCACTGTTGCCATATGACTTTCTGAATTGGCAATCCCACATATATCAATAAGAGATGAGTTGTCACTGTAATCAGAAAATAGAGAAAAACAATGCCTGTGCACCAAGTCACATGACTTGACAATCCATCTGCATATACAAACAAAATAAGGGCATGCTCACTGTAAGGTAAATCAGTGAATTCACTGTTACTATGTGACTTTCTGAATTGAGAATCTCACATATATCAATAAGAGATGAGTTGTCACTGTAATCAAAAAATCGAGCAAAAATCGAGAAAACCAAAGCCTGTGCACCAAGTCACATGACTTGACAATCCATCTGCATATACGGACAAAATAAGGGCATGCTCATTGTAAGGTAAACCAGTGAATTCACTGTTGCCATGTGACTTTCTGAATTGTCACTGTAATAAAAAAGGAAGCTTATGTAGGCAATGTTGTGTTTCACTTAGCTATGCATCATTCGTTGTTACGACCAACTATTTATATTTCATTGAAAAGTATGACTATTTGAATTTTTGTTGTCATTTGGAATTATTTTAAAATCAACTTTTGAATATTCAATTTGTAATATTTTGGAAAAGATTTACAACATCAACTGAACATTGGTCGTAACGTACCCATCCGCAGATCAATCGTAACAAATTTGTAAATCCCACGCACTCCCACTTAACCCCATATAGGAAGATTAATTGTTATTTTGATTTTTTCTGGAAATCACTCGTAATAAATTTGCAAATCTCACGCACAACCACTTAACCCAATAGTATTGGAAGACTAGTGTATGAAAATATTGTTGGAATGAAAATGTAATCGAATATAAAAGTATTGGGTTAAAACGAAATTTATGCAAATAGATGATCCGTATGGTTTTGTATTTTGAAATGAATATTATAATTACATTTTTTAAAAGAGTTTGTCAAACTTAAAATTTTGTTTGCTTGTATATATTAAAAATAATTTTTATAAATTTTAAATCCAAAACTTACTTGGTTTTCGAATTTCCAAAAACAGTTTTTTGGAAATTTATTAATCCCCCTACTGGACCAACCACTTGGCTTTGAGCTTGTTTGTCCTGCCTCCAAGTTTAGTTTTCTGTCAACCCCCCATTCCTTACCAGAGTCATCATTTTGACTGGACTACCAAGAATTGAAAGGAGACTCTTGCTTCTTTCCTGATGGAGATTGAAATTCTTTAAGAAGAGGATCACTATTTGAGGAGCCCCAGTTAAGGGAAGCTTTTGACTGAGCTACCTGTTCTGTTTTACGTGTTGTTGAAGGCGGTAATTCATTTGTCTGAACTTTATTAGTCCCCCAACTAGACCAACCACTTGGCTTTGAGCTTGTTTGTCCAGCCCCCAAGTTTAGTTTTTTGTCAACCCCCCATTCCTTACCAGAGTCATCATTTTGACTGGACTTCCAGAAATTGAAAGGCGACTCTTTCGCCTTTCCTGATGGAGATTGAAATTCTTTAAGAAGAGGATCACTATTTGAGGAGCCCCAGTTAAGGGAAGCTTTTGACTGAGCTACTTGTTCTGTTTTACGTGTTGTTGAAGGCGATAGTTTGTTTGTCTGAACTTTATTAGTCCCCCAACTAGACCAACCACTTGACTTTGAGCTTTTTTGTCCAGCCTCCGAGTTTAGTTTTTTGTCAACCCCCCATTCCTTACCAGAGTCATCATTTTGACTGGACTTCCAGAAATTGAAAGGTGACTCTTTCGTCTTTCCTGATAGAGATTGAAATTCTTTAAGAAGAGGATCACTATTTGAGGAGCCCCAGTTAAGGGAAGCTTTTGACTGAGCTACCTGTTCTGTTTTACGTGTTGTTGAAGGCGATAGTTCGTTTGTCTGGACTTTATTAGTCCCCCAACTAGACCAATCACTTGGCTTTGAGCTTCTTTGTCCAGCCCTCAAGTTTAGTTTTTTGTCAACCCCCCATTCATTACTAGAGTCATCATTTTGACTGGACTTCCAGAAATTGAAAGGCAACTCTTTCGTCTTTCCTGATGAAGATTGAAATTCTTTAAGAAGAGGATCACTATTTGAGGAGCCCCAGTTAAGGGAAGCTTTTGACTGAGCTACATGTTCTGTTTTACATGTTGTTAAAGGCGATAGTTCGTTTGTCTGAACTTTACTAGTCCCCCAACTAGACCAACCACTTGGCTTTGAGCTTCTTTGTCCAGCCCCCAAGTTTAGTTTTTTGTCAACCCCCCATTCCTTACTAGAGTCATCATTTTGACTAGACTTCCAGAAATTGAAAGGCGACTCTTTCGTCTTTCCTGATGGAGATTGAAATTCTTTAAGAAGAGGATCACTATTTGAGGAGCCCTAGTTAAGGGAAGCTTTTGATTGAGCTACCTGTTCTGTTTTACGTGTTGTTGAAGGCGGTAGTTTGTTTGTCTGGACTTTATTAGTCCCCCAACTAGACCAACCACTTTATTATTTTTTTATTCATCAAAAACGGCTTTGCCAATGCCGTTTTAAGGAAAACGGTTTTGGTAAACCCGTTTCACCCTATATTGGGAATAAAGTAGAAAACACACCCTAGAGTCGGACTAAAATATTCAAAATGCCATAATCAGGGAAATTGGCCGTTTGTTTAATCTTTCACTTTCGCATCTCTCTCTCTCTGTGTCACCCCCTTTCTCTCTGCTACCCTCTCTCTACTGCACTCATTCCTCTCTCTTTCTCTAGCTCGGCTGAATGGCCGAACTGGTTGTTTTGTTTAAAACCCTAATCTAACCCAATGAGCCTCTGTTTGGTTTCTAAGAAAACAAAGGATTTGTTTTTTTGAAGAGCAATCAACAAGGTATGCCTCCCTCTGATTATTTCAGAAACCCTCCCTCTTCTTCCCATTTTTTACTCTGTTTTCTCTCTCTGAATTTGTATTCCAGTCTGTCCTGGCTCACATTGATTCGAAATTTGTACGAATGAAGCAAGGCTTTATAAGGATGTTATTCTATTTTGCTATTTATATATCTCAGTTGACATTTGTAATGAAATAATCCATTTTTACATTAATTAATATAGTATTTTGTAACCATTTTGTTGCTTCCATGACTTGTTCTTGATTTGTTGCAAAATATTTCATCTTATTTTGGCACTAAAATTATAGGGCTAAATTATGTTATTTGAATTTTGATTGCATTTAAGATGTTTGTAAAAATGCCTAGTTTGTTAGCAATTTAAACAAAAGTATTTTGGAACTATATTTTCATTGTATTTAGATGTTGTAGAAAACTTGTGATTGATTTAACATGTTCTTCGAAGATTTATCCCAAAATATATTTAGTGATATTCACATGAAGCAGCTATAACTTGTGGTTGGAACCTCCCAATTTGTAAGATAGGGCAAATAGTTATTCCAAGTGTTTTTGGTAATGTGTAGTTCTTATTGTTCTAGTTGAATTAAATAGCCATCTCAATTAAATCTTTTGTTTGATTGGTTTTTAAATATATATATATATATGTGTATTGAAAAGCCAATGTAGTTCACATACAATAGAAATACTTCCAAAAATGCTAATCAAATAGTGCTTGAACTTCATTTGTATCCTTTTTTAAGCATGAGCAGTTGACAAGATAACGAGAAAGTGACTCTAACCAACAAAACAACTTTGAAAAGCCAAAAAGAATTGAAGTATATGATTTTAAATTTTAGATAAAAAGTAGTCGATGTGAAGCTTATGCTTAATAAAATGAATTTTTGCATCCTTTTTCCAAAGTATATTGGTGCTAAGAGAATCCATGAATTATTATTGTGATAACCCTGTTCCGTATTATGCTAATGGGTCCTTATTATGAATTTGATTATGTGTCTGATATGGTTTTGTGTGCCAATTATGTGAATATATGTGGTTTTGAATTTCTATCTGTTCACTGTAGGAATATCTGTTTGATTATCTGCTTCGGAAATTAAATTGAAGGCCTTATGGGCCACAGAAACCGAAATTGGTTGCGCCATTGTAATTAGCGTAATTTTTAGAGCCTACGGTGAAATTTGATTGAAAATTGATTTGGATCAGATTAATTGGATTAATTTAATGAATTAGTACTCAATTATTTTATAATAAAATAATGTAATTGAGAGGGAGCCTTTAAAGGGCCATTTTACACCCTCACTTTGCTCCTTTTGAGCTTATCATCCGAAACTATGCTCTAGAGAGAGAAGGGAGCCGAAGTTAGTGAGAAAAGGAGCTCAAGGAAGAGTTTTGGCTAGGGAACTTGATAGCTTTGAAGCTATACTCAAGAATTTGTTGTTGATTGGAAAAATTGAGCCTCTAGGTAAGCATTTGATCTTGAATTCATAAGTTTGAATTTGTGATTTTGTAAGTTCAAGGTTTGTTTAGAAATTGGAAGCTTAGAACTCCAAGGTGAGTATTTGAGCATAAATTCATGGGTTTGAGTTTGTAATTCTATGAATTCAAGTTATATTGTAATCAAGAATGTGAATTGTGTTGAATTTGTGGAGGTTGAAGTCTATGTGTACATGCATGTTAGAATTTGCCATGGATTTGTATAATCTAGCTTAAGGCATGATGAACATGATGAATTGGGCATCAAATCTCACATGCATGCATGGTTTCTATAAGTTCCATGATCATAAGCCTTATTTGTACCATTTGAACTCGAATTGGAAGCCAAAACTTACATGCATGTTTGATTATCGAAGATATGAAGCTCATATCGGGTTTGAAAGCATAAGCCATGATTATACAAGAATATTGATTGATTTTGGAGAATTGAACCATGATTTTGAGTGATTAGCTTCATATTGTTTGTGTACCCTTGAAATATAATGTGTTTATATGTTTTTGGGACTGAAATCATGAGTTGAGACCTTTGAACATCAAAATTGAACTCCAAGAACAGTTCTGGAATTTCCAGAAAGTTTGATGTCCTCTCGAGCGGGGGAACCGCCGCTCGAGCGTGAAATTCGTGCTCCCAACATATTTTTGCAGACATGGTTCCCGCTCGAGCGGGGGAAGTTGACGCTCGAGCGGGGAGCTATGTAGACAGACTTTCCGCTCGAGCGCCCGAGTTCACACTCGAGTGTGAATTTGTTGCATCCAGCACTTTTACAGACCTCATGGGTCCGCTAGTGGGGACCTTATTTCCTGAAATTTTGAAAATGCATTTTGTGTTCCGTTTTTCGCTCCCTTTCACTTCTAAGTACTCTTAGGCATACTTTGAGCATTGTAAATGAGTTAGAAGAATAAGAATTAAGCCTAAAGAGGAATATGTGAATTAAGAACGGATTGAATCGGTTGTGACCCATATGTGTTATGTGATGTGTAGGGTCAAGCTCCAAGGCAAATCAATCAGCCGATCACTGTGAGTAATATCTTAACAAAGATATCTGAAATATGTTGTTGTCCAAATTGCTTACTTCTATGTAAGTTTTATAAGTTCATTGATTCGATTGATGGACAATGGTTATTATACTAAATGATTGGGCCAGAGGTAGGAGTGGCAACGGGGCGGGGCCGGGGATCACACGCCCCGTCCCCGATCCCTGATGGTGAACATGGCCCCGTCCCCGGCCCCGATCCCCAACGGGGAACCTATCACTCTCCCCACCCCCGCCCCCGATTGGGGATCGGGTTTCCCCGACCCCGAAAATTCCCCGGCCAAAATTGATGGCAGAAATAGGCAAGTGAAATCCCAGAGAGAGAGAGAGGTCATTCTGTATGCATATAGATCTAAAGAGAGAAAACTAAATGGTGAGAAATAGTACTACACATATATGTATACATCTGCAGAGAGAAACAATTGGTGAAGAAAATTGTTTTCCAAAGCACATAGAGTTTAGATTTTAGAGTATATGCCAACACTGCAGACCTGTTTTGGTGTCAGATGTGCCTTTTACTTGCCAAGAACTTAAATGGTGGAGATTAGTTTAAAGTGCATATATTTATTTATTTATTTATTTTTATAAATTTAATGTGCATATATTTATGGAAGAAATACTTAGTCTGTGCATCATTAACACAGATCTGGACTGTGCATCATCAACACAGAAATATTTTACTCCCATGTCTAATAGTTGGACTGTGCATCATCAACACAGATCTGGTGGAGTTCATGGAGGGGGACGATCGGTAGCGATGGACGATCTGAGAGCATCATCGGCGTCGCGATGGGTGGCTGTGGTTGTGACTGCATCGCGACAGTGGCGATGGACGACGGAGGACTCCTCCGGCGTCGCGGACAGTGATGATCGACGGGCGAGAGTGAGAGAGAGAGAGTAGAGGGAAGAGAGAGAGACGTGACACAGAACTGGAGTGGAGGTTTGGTTTGGTTACTATGGGTGTGTTTATATATATCTAGGGGTAAATTAGTAATTTTTTTTTGGGGACAAACTGGGCCGGGAAACAGGGACGGGGACGGGGCTGGGACACTTATCCCCGTCCCCGGCTCGAATCTGTTCGGGGATTGATTTTTAAATACCATTCCCGTCCCATCGGGAGTATTTTTTGGGGAAAACCTGCACAATTTGAGATCGGGGGGTCGGGTCCCCATCGGACCGGTTTCAAATTGCCATCCCTAGCCAGAGGCCTTTTTGAGAAGAATGAATGAATGGGCCAGAGGCCGTTTTGACAAGAATGAATGGATGGGCCGAAGGTCGTTTTGATATGAATGAATGGGCCGAAGGCCTTTTTGACAGGAATGGATGGGGCGAAGGCCGTTTTGACATGAATAAATGGGGCGAAGGCCGTTTTGACATGGATGAATGGGCCAGAGGCCATTTTGACATGAATGAATGGGCCAGAGGCCAGTTTGACATGAATGAATGGGCCAGAGGCCAGTTTGACATAAATAAATGGGCCAGAGGCCAGTTTGACACGAACGATAGTTCGACACGAATAACAGTTTGACACGAATGATAGTTTGTCATGAATAACAGTTTGACATGAATGATACGAATGGATTGGGCCCGAGGCCATATGATGTGTTTGGAACCGCAGTTACTTAACTTACATATATCTATGCATGTATGTATTAGTTAGAAATATAAATTGGGCCCAAGGCCGTTTGATGTATATTGTTCCAATGTATATTCCTTATTTGATATTATTCACTGGGTTACCGCTCACGTTCATTCATGTGTTTGTAGGTGAGCCAAGAGGAGTCCAAACCCAGCCCCAGTGAAGTCTGTATGGAACAACTAAGGTTTTGAAGAGTCAGCCCTTGCGTCTCATGCACGAGACACGTCTTCGCCCTTCTTCTATTCTATGTTATTTTGTCATGTTGGCGAGGACTCCGGTGTACGTCTGTATATAGCTTTGTTTTGGCTGACTTAGATTTGAATGATCCTGTCTGTATAGAAATTCATGTTACTATACTTTCTGTTGTGAGTTATTAACATATGTATGTATGAAATGCTATGATGTGCATATAAGCACGGCTCCGTGGACAAAGTTTTAAATTGCTTCCGTTTGGCCCCCGTTAACTCTGTTAAAATACATCTGGTTTGGTTTGCGGCCGTAGGTAATCTCATGATTACTGGTCGGTTATGTCCTTAACCCATGAGGGCGGGTTCGGGTCATGACAGAGTGGTATCAGAGCACGAGTTAATAACTCACACACTTGTCCAAAAGAGCAATAAGTGTCTAGAGAAGATCTAGGATGCATTCATATGATAAGTATGAATTTGGAAGCATTGAGAATATGCCTAACTGTTTTGATATGAATAGTTATGTGTTATAAGCTGTGATCTGCTTGCATTGTAAATTATTTGAATATGTATGCTCTTTAGTATATGCATACCTGTGTTTTTTTTCACTATTTTGTCACTTTTGATTTTCTATCTAAACATGCATCTTTTTACACTTGGTTAATTTTGACCTAACGAACTGTACTTTGTTTTTCGAGTAACATTCTTATGATAAGAGATGTGCATAGTAGCATTTCCTTTATATATGTATATTATATACTTGTAAAATTTATCTTATAAATGCTATATTTTTTGGGACAAGTATCTTAGATGATTGGTTTTAGTTGGATTGTTTATATACATATGCCTAAGAGGAGGGACGAATATCATCAGGATAGTGTAATTTAGTAATTTCAATTTGGGGACCTACATCCCAAGGACATTAGGGCTGCAATTAATAAATCAATAAGAAATTTTTTTATAATTACAACTAAAATGAGAAGGTGAAAAGTAAATATAAAGAGGTGGCAATCGCCTATTTGACTTACCAAAATATCCTTCTCTTCTTCCTTTTTCCTTCCCTTTGCTTTGGAAATCTGGTCACTGAGTCCCATACAACCAATTTCCTCCCTCCTTGACCAACCCCAACACCTTGCCTGCCACCACCAACCCCTCACCCACCTGTCTTGTCCCTCTTCCACCACTTGAAACCCCTCCCCATCCATTTCCATCACTTCCTCACGCTACTTTCGTCTATCTCTTCTACACAAGCCCCTTCCAACCCCACCCAACCTAACACCCTAATCAACCCAAATCCAAGCCATCGGAACCCCACCAAACTCCTCCAGTCCCACCCCATCTCTACTCTGCACCATCTCTCTCGTAACTATTGTTGAAAGATAAAGTCCAAACTATGCAAGGTGGTGATGATCTACTCCCAATGTTTTGGCCTGATAATTACATGATATGTATGGAGTGGGAGAATCATGATGGAATATGTATCAAACTTTTAAATACAAAGAATAAAATAGAGAATATTTGTGTTATGTATTTCTATAAATTATTAAATGGTTGAACCAACAAGTAAAATGATAAAGAATGTAAGCTTTGTCAAGATTGATTATTTGGTATCTAAATGTTTTGACTTGTACATAATAATCCATACAAAAATTGGTTGAGACTTAGAGCTTATGTGCCCCACTTCGACGTAAGTTTCCAGACTAATGGCTAGATTCAAGAGTTGTATCCATTCATGTTTTGAAAAATCCATGAGAAAAAAGAATCCGTTTCAATATGCTACCTCTTAAGGGTTGCATATAATATTCTCCCTAACTATTGGCTCTTTTTATTTATTTATTTTAATTGCTGGAAGGGTTGGTTTTGGTATGTTAGTCTAAGTCTTTACGTAATGGCTATTGATTGTTCAAACAAATGTATTAAAAGTTTCATCTCTTGTATTGTTTATGTGGTTTGTTAATGTGAAAGCATATGTGCAAAATGATATTTGTTTGCTTTTAATTGATAGCATGGCACTGGCGGGTGTGCTAATTTATTTATTTGCTTTTAATTGATAGTAGGTTACTGGCAGATGTTCTAATTTATTTGTTTTCTTTAAGTTGATAATAGGGTATTACCAGGTGTGATACTTTTTTCTATTTGCAAATGATAATAGTTAAGGATTGGAGATGCTTTAAAGTGTACTATTATTGTCAGTCATACTCTATTGAGGTGTGAATTTATTAGGTTTTATGCCATGCTTGGGACTTTTATACCATGTTGTGAGTCCCAAACATGGTGTAAAATTCTATAAAATTAAATCTCACATAACTAGAATTAACATATCAAAAAATATATATTTAGAATTAAATTACAAAAAAATTACTTTTGTGAAAATAATAAGGATATCAAGTGAATGAGGATATCGCAAGTATACTTTATTGTCTTGATATGCATATTTTTATATAATTTTATGTTATTAAATTTTGTCTATGTAGACTTAATGAAAATTTTACACTTCTTGATGATGTGATTGAAGGTGTGGTCATAATGTGGTTTAAAGTGTAGTGTTGCATGTGTGTTTTTTAGTTATTTGAATGAAGTGTGTTCTTTGATCTAGTTTATACCCATTGAAAAAAAAATAAAATAAAATAAGAAAATTCTAGCGTTGCCACTAATTATACACTGTTTTGAAATTTGAAACACATGGGTGGCAATTACACTCTATTTTCAAGTGTGTCTGGTTATTAGGCATTACATTTTTAATTTGGGTTTTGAAATATAAGTAGTTTCATTCATATTCAATTTGTAATATCCTTAATTGTTAGTTGCCATTTGTAAGAAGCTGCATTGGTTGCATTGTCATTGATTACCGTGATACAGAAGGACATGATAATCATAGTAAAATTGAAAATATTTGTTTGGATTTGGTCCTTGTGGCTGCATTGTCATGGCTTGAACTAACACCAGTGTGGTTTGAACTCCATATTTTGTAAGGCTACCATCCTCTTTGTTTATTTGCTTTTTGTTTATATGCTTGAACTGAAACGTTTGGTCTTGCTCCATTGAAGAAAAATGTTGTAAGAGAGATTCCAGGTTCTACAACATTGCAAGGCATCTTGCTTTATCATTTTTTGTTATAAAGAATCTGGCATAGCATTATAGAAGATTTGATTAAGAGCGATAGGTTGTTGGACTGACTCAAGTAACTTCTCCATTAGCTTGTTCAAAAGGGCTTTAATGAAATGTAATAATTCTTTGGTTTAATTAATTGTTTAACTGTTGAAACTGGTCTATGCTTTTTTCCTTAAGTTCCTTAAATTGGATTGATCAATGGAATGTTAAAATTGTTCTTTCTTCCTCCTTTATTTTATTTTACGTGACAATGGGATCTAGACCTTCCAATAGCAATTGAAGCTTGTTGATTATGGCTTGCCATATGAAAGTGTTCCATGCGAGCTAAATTTAATTTATTTATTTTTTAGCGGATGGCTTTCTAAGCTTATTTTTGCCTTAATATTTGCGTGGGTGCTTTAAGTTTTCCATTGTCCCATGTCTCCATGTTGATGCTAGAGATAAGAATGTTGCAGTACCCTTAACATAAACAAACACACACAATCCCCATTATTTTTGTTGCTTTCTCTTGTTGAACCTATCATAAACACCACTACCCAAATTGGGAATAACAATAGTCAGCACCCTTTACTATTTTGAGTAGATTTTAAATTTTCCAAAGTGTCATCCCAAGGAACGGAGTGGGCACATAATTACATATAGAACATTGACTCTATATAAAGTAGATGATCATATGAGATAGAGAGATTTTGGTTTTGATTTTTTATTTAAGTGCTAATTATTGGTGGAATTTTATGGCAAGTGTTTGTGGTTTTGTGTTTTTATCAACTTGTAGCATTTGTAAATTTTCGGCGATTGATAGAATATTTTGATGTACTTCAAGAATGATATGTTTTTTTCTTAAACTAGCACTGATTTTTCTAATTTCACCATCTTTGTCTTTTTTTGGAACCGTTCCTAAATTTTGTGTTTCAAGTTTATTTTCTAGAAATTCAAACCTTAACTTCATCGTTATGTTTCCAATGTTTTTGGTTGATGCGTATTTTTATGATTTTGCAAACGGATAGTCTATTATGGTTTTGTTTTTGTTCAAGTGTTCTATGGTTATTCTACCTTGCACGTGTGCACACATATTGGCAAGGCGGGTAAGTACAAGGTTAGGTGGGTTTCTGATTCGAGATTTCTCTCTTATTGCCAAAGTAATCTTGCCTTTTGCCAAGTCAAATGACTATTAATGGGAAGAAGAAAAAAAACAAAAAAAGAAAAAAAAGAGCTCCTAAGATTCAATGAGGAAAGTTGACTCAGGCAATTATGTTTATTCACTAAAAGAATTACCTTGGAAACAAGCAGCCTAATTGAAATTGAAAGTTAAAAAACATATTTTATGAACTATTACTCAAATTGAATTTTTTTGATCTGTCCTTTGACAATTCCAATTCCATTTCAAGATTGTATAATATAACTTTTTGTCGAAGATCAATATATATATATGCATTACTTCTAGAGACTTTAGTCTTACTAGAAGGGAATCTAGTGTAATTATGCCAAATTTGTGAGGTTTATCGTAATTTACCAAATTAAATTGTGAATGAATGACTTTTTTTTTTTGTTGAACTAGTGAATGAATTACTCTGATCCACGATAATTAATGGATCTTTCCTATGGTTATGGTTGAAGAGTTCAATTGCAGGGTCACATGAAAAAAAAAATGTAAAAGCCTTCCATGTTACTAAATTTTTGTCTTGTATTGTCTTTAAGGTAGAGATTTTTTAAGTTCGTAAAATATACAAAGCAAGGATGTCTCTCATTGTTATTTACACATAAAATGAGTTTGTCTCTACTGGCTTTGACAAAGAGTTTGGAAGTGGGGAGTTGTTGTATTGTGCAAGGCTTGAAACTTGCATACCATATGCAAGTTAATTTTCAGCCATTGGATTTGATTGGATTAATCTAAACCCTTCAATATTTTATATAGTTTATACCATTTACCTGCTAAACCAGTTGAAACTTTCCTAGCCATTCTCTCTACTTCATCAGTCACGTTTCTCTCTCTCTCTCTGGTTTGGCGAAACAAGACTCCCCTCTCTCTCTTTTCTAGTCGTTCCACGAATGGAGATCGAAGTCGCAGGCTATGCAATGATTTGAAGAGGTATTCACCCAAAATAAGGATTGAAGAGGTATGACTGTAATAACCATAAAATTTTCTCACCCTTGCTACTAATTTATGGTTTCTCCATCTCTTTCTCTGATTTCACAATCCGTGCTCTTGCTCTTTATCATCTCTCACTCTCGTCTCTTGCTTTTGAAGGCTTCTTGAAGATCTCTCTCTTCTCCAGTAGCTTATTTGTTTGAAAGAGTTCTCATTGAAGAGGTATGGCTTGAAATCCTTGGTTGTTTAGTGGTGATTCTCCCCCTCTTTGTTCAATCTATTATTCTTATAGGTTAAAAATGGAAGCGTCAGTACTTGTCCAAAGGTGGGCGGCTCACTTTGATCAATAGTGTCCTATCCAGTATGGGATGGTTAGAGGGGGGTGGTGTTCAAATCGGGTCAGTCAATCACATGGTTGTAGTTTGTGGAAGGGGATTTGGTTGAGTAGGAAGACCTTTTGGGATAGGGTTCGATTTAAAGTGGCGGTGGGGGATCGGGTTCGATTCTGGGAAGATAGGTGGTGTGGCGAGTTGTCTTTGGCGGCTATGTTTCCACTGATTTTTGCTATTGCCGCTAATGTGGAGGAGTTGATTGCTTTGGTTCGGGTGCAGCAAGGGCAATCATACACGTGGAATCTTCATCTACGTCATAATGTGCAAGATTGGGAGTTGGACCAATTGGTGGGTTTGTTGGGTTTTTTGTATGAGTTACAGTTTGGAGGGGATGGGGAGGATACTTTATTATGGGAGGGTCCGAGGGCTAAAGGGATTTTTTCGGTGTCATCGTTTTATGGGATGCTTGAAGGCGGAGGAGTTAGGGTGTTCCCTTGGAAGAACATTTGGGCAGTGGGATCACCGTCCAAGGTTGCTTTCTTTGTTTAGACAGCTGTTTTGGGTCACATTTTGATTGTTGATAACTTAATTCAGCGATGGCATGTGTTGGTTAATTCGTGTTTTATGTGTTGCAGGGATGCAGAAACCGTTGATCATTTGTTTATCCATTGCTTGGTTGTGTTTCAGCTTTGGAATTTGATTGTTGCTTTATTTGGTTTGGTTTGGGTGCAACTGGGGTCTGTGTTGGGTGTTCTACAAAGTTGGGGTGGGGCTAGGATGGGCAAGAGGCGTCGGAAGGCTTGGGTACTTGCTTTTCATTGTTTGTTTTGGTTGATCTGGTTGGAGTGCAATAGGCGGGTTTTTCAAGATTTGAGTCATTCGGCTCTTTGGTTAGAAAGTAGGTTACTTTTGGTTTTGTATAGTTGGGTAAAGGGTTTGATGGATCATGATGTTTTGACTTTTGTTGATTTTGTAGAAGATTTGATTAGTTAGTTTTGCGCCTAGGGTGGGGTGTTGGTTTCCCTTATGTATTAGTTGCATCGTCTTGATGCTTTCTTAGTAAAGTTTGTTTATTTATCAAAAAAAAAAAAAATGTCACTCAAGTCGTTATTGTTGTACGCTGTGTAGATTGGAAGTTGCTTATATGAAAAATAAATATGTGGAATATTTGAACTAAAAGAAAAATGTGCATAATGAAAAACTTTTTGCAAAGTGTTGGAATCCCATATTGTCAATACCAAAATTAATCTCTAATTGTCTTTTTATATTTACAAATACTATAAATTGCAGTTTTTTTTTTTTTTTTTTTTTTTTTTTTTTTTTTTTTGGGTCTGTTGCTATCTTATTTTTTTAAAAAATAAAAATCCTCATTGAAATTGCTGCTGCTTTTGTTGTCCCATTTTTCTTATATGTGTGCTTATTTTTTTAAATATTGTTCAGTTATTAAAGGAAAACATTTGTGCTAATTTTTTGTGAAGTATTTTAGAACAAGTAGTCAAACTATGAGGAAACCATGTGAAAAACAGGATAGTTGAACTATGTGCATGGTGGCGAGTGGTGATACTTGACTAATCAAGATACTGAACGTGATTTCAAAATACCGAACATTAATATTTTTTCTCTTTGAAGTAAGACTTTATTTTAATTTTAATTTTTCGTTTTTGTTTCAGGTATCGATATTGGCAACAGTTGATGGCTACTGGATGACTTTCAAATTCATTTAATTTGGCTCCTTTTTAGGACAACAATTTTGATTCTAAATTTGTCTTTAGTTTATGTAATTAATGACTTTTGCATTCATTTCACAATTCACAAGTGCCGTGAATGATTTTTTGGTAGTGTTTGGGTTTGCACACCATATGGACCTTAATTCTAAACCATTAGATTACTTAAATTTGATCTTAATCATGGTGGAAAATAGGCAACTGGGTTAACCGGTTAACCTTTATCTCTCCCCTTTACTCTTGGCCTCACTCTTTTGTTTCTCACTCGGTTGCTCTCCCTCCGTTGGCTTTCCCTCTGCTGCTCTCACTCCAGTGGCGAAGGAGCTGCTCAGGGACCACCGCAGCCATTAATAGCAGGCTCGTAGCTTTCAGTTTCAAGAACATCGGTCTGCTCAGATTCGTATGATCGAAGAGAGTCTCTGATTTGCTGGTGTTCTTGGTGCGTTGTAATTTCTTATATCTTTCTGTCTATCTGAATATATTTTGATGATTTGATTTGATTTCATTTAAATAAACAAGACATTCTTATATTTTCAATTGTTTTGTTGAATCCACGATGGAATGCGAAGGTGATTACATCTGTGGCTGGAGGATTTTGCTGTATTCGTTCTTGGTGCAAAATCCCTTGGACTTTGCCTGTCGAAGCCCTAGGTCACCTCTCTCTCACTCTCTCTCTCTCTGTGTATTTCCTAAAATCTAGTATATATTTTGGTCCATTTTGTGAGGCCTTATTCCGGTTATGCTTGTGTTAATATATAAATCTGCATATTCTTTTGCTCATATTCTTTCTCTCATTGCATTATGTGAACTTTAGTTGTTGATTTTTGCTCCTTTAAAGTTCATTGTTTGTGGGGGTGAAGCCCGTATCACCTATTTATTATAATTTTCACTAACCCTTCATTTTGGCTGCTTGGAAAACCCAATACGAAGAAAAGAATAGATCCAAGTTTCCACACTTTTGTTTGCTGAGTTGCAATATGCTTACTTGTGCAGATTTTATTTTATTTTATTTTTTTGTTTTTTTGTTAAATTTTTCATATTCTAAACTTGAATTTTTGTGCTTTTTTCATATTTTCTCTGCAATCTAACACAACATATATATATATATATATATATTTAACTATTTACTTGGGAATTAAGCAATTTTCTGATGTTAGAGAAGATGTTTATGAGGCTACTCACTCTACTATTGGACTATTTTTAATTAAACCTGTTAATGTCTACTTAACTACTTAAGGAAAACATGAAGTTCTCCATAATTTCTATTTAAAACCAGTGAGATTTAGATTTGTCTAGAAATTATATTTTGTAATAATGATATCCTTTGCTCCTTTCTTTCTTGGACTTTTTTTTTCCCCCCTTTTCCACAATTGTCACTTGGATGCTCCAAATATACAATTATAGTTAGGAAAATCAACACCACTTATTAATAGCTCTTTATTTGTAATTTTCATTAATGAGATTATTTGGTTTCCTCTGCCTATCAATTTCGAGTCAACTTTTAGAGCGATAAAGAAGTTTTGATTGCTTTCTTGTAATGAAATAATTTGTGAATATGTTCATATATTGGCATGTATACATTTGTTGTATTTCGGAACCATATTTTTGCTTCAATCTTTTTGAACAAGAAATATATAAACTACAGCTTAATTTTTCCTTTTCTTCTAATTTTTTATGCATAATGAAATAGCTACATTTTTTTTCTTCTCTTGAGAAGATAGTGAACTTCAATGCACACGTGTGCGCACACAAACAAATGGACAAAAATTGAAGCCATGAGGATATGAACTAAGGTAAAGATAAAAACTTTCACCATAAGCTTTTTTTCTATAATAATTATGTCGATTGAGGTTTGTGATTTTTTTTCTTGATTTCAAATTTGTTTTGTAATGTGTTAATGTGACTTTCTTAAAAGATAATAATGTAGTTATATTTTGTTGTATTAGTCATGGGGTGGGTTATATACCAATTGATTGGTGTTAAAAGAGTGGAAATCTTGACTAGCCAACAAAGTTGATTTTTATCGTAGGAAAGTTGACCCTTGTTGTTTCAATGGGTTTCCAATGAAAGAACTTGAAATATGGGCTTCATGACAAAAAATTGAATAAAGCATTTGAAGTGCTCGATAGGCTTGAAGGAGGCCAATAACTATTGGTGGGTTGAAAAAAGTGGAGTTGGCTTAGGGATCTATTTTGGATAATTAATATATGGAAATTGTGGCTCTAAATAAATTTTTTTTTGAGCTGCTTTTGCAATGTTTGATTTGAGTGCAACAGATTCTCAAGAAAACATAAGCAACAAATAGTAAGTAGATTTTGATGATCAACATTATGAAAGAAACCTGCACTGCGTACTTAGATGGTTCTTATAAAACAAAAGTGAGATTCTAAGTAACATTCTTGAATTGTGACATATACTATGAACATAACCTTAAATTAGCAGCCACTTGCCAGTTTTAAACCAAAACAAAACACCAATTGTGTGACTCATGCGAAAACCAAATTTGAAGAATTCGCAGATAGGCACATGTATGTGAAGATGTGTTTTGTCTTTTTGTTTTGTAGTGCATGTGTATAGTGGCCCTTTTTTTTATTAAAGGTACTAGCATGGCCTTTCTCCTGGAGCACTCTTCGAATAATAGGCATGATGACTCTTGTCAAATGGTTTTGAAATGGATTTCTATGAAATGAAATGGGTCTCTTTCTATTAAATGATTCTATGAATTTCTTTGTCCAACTATATAGATGGGTTTTTATGAAATGGGTTTGATGGGTTTCTAATAAAATGAAGAGGTGTGAACAAGGGATGTCTATTACAAATAAATTTTCTAAGGAAGTAGTGGTTCTTGAATGATAGATTCATCTCTATTTCAGAGTCAAGGTTTTGGGAATTGATTCATTTAGATCACAACTTTCAGTTAAGGTTGGGACTCGCTTTTTGCATGAAAATTCAAATTTAGCAGAAGGTAGAATGGTGGAGGTTTTAGAGTATTTGATTATCTTACTAATTTTATGAAAGCATAAAGAGATGTATTTTTGGAAATAGACTTGTGCACTTGTGGTACGTGTTTTAAAAATGGTAGACTTAGCAGGAAAACATGGCAATTTTTTCGGAGTTCTTCCCTCCCTTTGAGTCTTCTTATAGGTTTTGCTATTCCCTTTGTATTATGTTAGATAGTGCCTAGATTGGTTTATGAGGGTGCTTAATGGATGAAAGCGACAACAATTAAATATTGTGCAATTGCACACTTAACACGCCAAAAAAAAAAAAGAGAAGTTTTTGGTTAGGCACTCTAGTTCTCTGGATTATCAAAATTTTGAACAAGGGTTAGTGAAACTACGAATTAGTTTTTGGTCAAGCACTATAGGGTTTTTGCCAAAATTGGTAAAAATTTTATACTATTTTTTCAATAGGGTTAACATTAATTAATTAATGTAATATCTAGGAACCATAATTTTACTTGTAGGGTTTTTGCTAAACTGGTAACAATTTTATATGTAGTTTCATTCATATAAAATTTGTAAATGTCCTTAGTTGTTAGTTGCCATTTGTAGGAAGCTGCATTGGTTGCATTGTCATTGATTATTGTGATACAGGGAGGACATGATAATGTTCATATAGGTGTCAATCATAGTAAAATTGAAAAATGCTACTCTCCAAAAAACTGTTTGGATTTGGTCCTTGTGGTTGCATTGTCATTCCTTGAACTAACATGTTAGTGGTTTGAACTCCATATTTTGCAAGGCTACCATCCTCTTAGTTTGTTTGTTTGTTTGTTTTTGTTTTTATTTTTATTTTTATATGCTTGAACTGAAAGGTTTGGTCTTACTTCAGAAAATGTTGTAAAAGGTGTTCCAAGTCTAGAACATTGTGAAGCATCTTGCTTTATCATTTTTCGTTATCAAGAATATAGCATTGCATTATAGAAGATTTGATTAAGAACAATAGGTTGTTGGACTAACCTGAGTAACTTCTCAGTTAGCCTGTTCAGAAGGGCTTTAATGAAATGTAATAATTCTTTGGTTTAATTAATTGTTTAACTATTGAAACTAGTCTATGTTTTTTTTCCCTTTAATTGGATTGATCAATGGAATGTTAAAATTGTTCTTTCTTCCTCTTAATTGCATTTTGCTTCTTATTTTATTTTATGTGACAATGGGATCTTGTAACGCCCTCAAAATAACAACAATAAACCCATCAGATAAGACATGCATTTACATATAATCTAACCATATTCTTTTATTCATTAGAGTTTCATTACATAAGTATTACATGTTAACATCATAACAAAATGCCCTACAGGCTTACAGCTTTCCAAGTTAACACTTGGTTACAACAAAAGAGTACTAACTCGTTTACACATTAAGCCCTAGGCTTGAAGTTACATGTAATACATCAAAAGTTAAGCGACAAAAGTATGTCCGCCACTAGCCTCCCAGCTATGTCCTTGGAGGTGGCATGCTTCCTGCACCTGAAAATGATATTCCCATATAGGGTGAGCCACAGCCCAGTAGAAATACACTAAACCAACCATGGACAATGACTAAAATATTAGCAATTGATAGATGGTCAACCACTGATACATCTACATAAATCACATATTTATGTCATAGAACTTATGAGTCTAAGTTACCTTTCATTTTCCCTTTTTCAACAGATAAGCATGCTAGCTCTATCATCATTTCCACAGATATGTATAAAAACTATATCTCACATTCAGATAAGCATAAAAGCCATATCCACATTCTCAACAGATATGTACATCAACAATATCCACAGATAAGCATAAAAGCTGTATCCACACTCTACAACAGATATGTATATCAACAATATCCACAAATAAGCATACAAGCTGTATCCACACTCTACAACAGATATGATCACAGTCAAAATCCACAGATAAGCATACAAACTGTATCCACACTTCACAACAGATATGTATAACCACAATATCCACAGATAAGCATACCAGCTGTATCCACACTTCACAAAGATAAGCATATAAGC